GGGGGGGAGAGAGAGAGAGAGAGAGAGAGAGAGAGAGAGAGAGAGAGAGAGAGAGAGAGAGAGAGCGGGGCGGTCGAATTAGCACGGCTCGGCACCGGAGGCAAATATCAATTCCGCTCGAGGATGTTCGCGGACGCTGCGCCGAGCGGAATATCCACGTGGCTGGCTGCAGACCGTGCAGTTACAGGTGCGATAAATCGTGAACGTAGAACCCGGAACGCGGTCTCTATCCCGTGGCAACGAATCTGGATTAACTCCCGGCTGTTGTACGGGGTCGGACAGGATTGTCTGGTCGGCGAGGAATGCGAAGGCTGGGGCAGAGGCAGCTGATAAATAGGCATCGATTACGGGCCGCCGTACGAGCTAGCTTCCCGAGGATTCGCCCGCGCGCGGATCCTCTTCCCTGCGCCGAGTCTCGTCGAATTCATCGAATTAATCTCTTAAATCAAATACAAAACGTACGAAACTGTAAAGTGAAAGCGTTGGACCGATCGCGAGGAGGAGATCGGCAAAGGTTTCGTCGCGAACATTTCGTTGACCCGGTGAACCCGGTGAACCCGGTGAACCCGGTGGCTCTCCCGCGGCTCGCGTCACTCCCGCGGGACTCCGGCTACGATAAGACCCGGCCCGAAGCCCCGGTCCGTCGCTTAGCGTCCCCGAGCGGAATTTACGAGCCATAAATTTCAGCCGGTGCCCGCGGAATCTGGGACTCGGCGTCTCTTTGCTGCTTTTTCGAGCGCATCTCGAAAGTCTCGCGGTTACAGATTCGCAGAACTCCCTCGGAAGCCAGCATTTTGTCGGCGAATCTGCGCCGAAACGATAGGCCTTCGATCCTTTGTCCGCGCGATACGAGCAGTGTTTTCGCGTTCGAGCTCCGCCGAATGTTCGGCGCGCGGGCTTCGCGTTTCTGGGAATAGTCGGCCGACCATGGACGCCGGCGACAGCAATTACGATGATCGAGAGGACGCGCGAAGGGCCGCCTTTTATTCCCGGCGCTAATTGTCCCGGGTCGAACGGATCCGTGGACGACGCGTCCTCCTCGAACGTGCTCGAACGTGCTCGAATTTCGACCGCTTCGAGACGGGCGAAGCGATCGAATCCGACGTCGAGTTTTACGTAAAAACGCGAGATCGTTCCGTTATCCGAATCGATCGTTCCTCGAGTCTAGGCGTCCGAGAGAAGCGAGGGCTGCGGCGCGGAAGGGTCGAGAGATCCGAGGATTTGGCCGACGCCGGATGGATAGCGGGAGGGAAAGGGGGGTGTCGAAGCGGGGCGGTTGGATGGGGCGCATCCGTAACGGGGACGAGAGACGAGGTCGCGGGGCGGGGGTGGCAGCGACGAAGGGTGTGGCTTGGTCTAATACGAGCGAACAAACCATTAAACTACACTCGGGGCCGGTGCTCGACCGATTATAACTCGTTAGACACGACATGCGTGCATTAAGCGAGTTATCGCGCGCGCGGAGCAACTCCTGCCGCATCGAGGGTTCGAATTCGAAGCTTCCGGGGCGCCGAAGAACCCTCGACGAGCCGGCCGCGCATCGACGACGCTTCGACGCGGCCTTCGTCTCGATTCGATGCGTCCTAAGCTCGATCGATTATCCGTCGCCGAAGCAACGCGTAAAAATCCTGCAAGAATATAGCTCGCGAATATAGTTCGAACGGTCGACGATCCGTGCCACCGACCGTCGAAGTCTGTCAAGGTATGCCAGAGAGTCTGTCGGGGTCTGACAGGGCGAGCACGTCGCTTCTGCCTCGGTTCGATAAAGCGTCGATCTCGACTACCGACAGACTCGTTCAGTGGCGGGCTGTCGCATTAGTCGGCCGGAAGAGCAAACGCCGCACCGCGCCGCGCGCTTCGCCGGATAATAAATACTCGAGGCCCACTTGTTGCTTTTATTTCGCGACCTCGAAGATCCCTAGGACCGCCTTGATCTCGAGATTTCGAAACGTCGACCGGTCGTTTAATTCGCCGAATAGCGCCGGATCGGGACGCTCGCCGTTTCCAGACGCGAGTCGACGCGTGCACGAGCGATTAACGCTAGAAACTACGAAACCGGTGCTCGGCGACGAATTTGCGATTCTTTCTCGCGCGCGCGCGAAGGTAGCACGATCGATTCGCAGCTTCTAGGGCGACTCGACGGAGTTTCTAGGCCGCGTTATCCGGGTCTGGGACCGCCTTTAGGGTCGTCGAAGATCGAATCGGTCGGGAGATAACGCGGCCGCTCGTTAGCCGCCGCTAATTTCCATCGGCTCGGCGTCTCCGTCTCCGTCTCCGTCTCCGTGTCCGCGCCGTCTCCGAGCCGATACGAGCGGAGGGCGGTCACGAGCGCCGGTAATGGACTCGTCCCGGTGCGCTTCCGGTTATTATCGTGCTTCCTGCGAGGCCGCCGCCGCCGGCCCTAGGCGGATCGCGGTTATCTCGATTTCTGCGATCGTCGATATCACCGCCCCTTCCAGCGCGCGCTCCCATCTATCGGCACCGATCCGCTCGGCACGGAGCGACTCGAAGCGCCTCGACCGATCCGCGGATCGAGGAGGGTCCAGAGTTTCCCGATCCACGCCGAGTCCGCGAGGGAATCGCGATCGGAAAACGGTCGCGACGCGAGAGAGCAGCGCGACGGCACAGTATCCTCGTTACGTTGCGTTTACGCGTTCGCGCGGCGAATATTTGCCGGTACATCGGCGCGTAAACGGCGACACGCGTATCGACCGCGTCCGTCCGGCAAAATTTAACGCGACGCCGTCTCGAAATTCTACGATTCGCCGTAACATCGACGTCGCGATTCGGCGATATCGTGTATCGCCTTGGTTTTTGTTCGATCGTTCCTCCAGTTTCGCACGGTACTCGTCCCGGGAACAAGGTCGATCCGATCGCTCGTCGCGAAAACGGGAAACGTTGGTTGGTTTAGTCTCTCGGTTTTATAATATTTGCAGCGAGGTTGGAGAGTTGCAACGGTAGATCCCGCCGCGAGCAATCTCGGGGAAAGCAACGCGTCAAAGCGGACACCGGAGATAAAAGGAAAAAGTTGTCTCGCGCCGGAAAAAGGTTTTAGCGGTTGCGGCAATTATTATCGCGGAAAATGGCGCGGCCCGGGATCCGTGTTCCTCGTCGCTGCCCCGCCCACGGGTAATCGGTGGAATTCCACGGCGGAATAAAATCTCTCGCGGCATTAAACCGCGCTCGGATCCTTTTCCTTTCGTCGGGAACCGTAATCAGAGGGCGTTAGGGGAGAACGAGAGCAATTTTCTCGAGGCTGGGTTACAGGCTCGGCGGGGCCAGCGGCGACGCGGAAGGTGCCCCCTTTATCGCGCTCGTCCCCGAGCAGCCGAGCACTCGAGCACGTCCCTGGATCGACGAGAAATCCCTTCCTCGAGACGACTCGCCTCCGCGGTTATTGCGCCTTCGCGTTCGCCTCCGCCTCCGCGCCTCCGCCTCAACCTCCGCCCTCGCCGAGAGAAAACGTCCGAAGCATCCTCTGCTTCCGGTCCCCCTCCTCGCTACCACCCCGCTGAGATATTAAGCCCTCCCCGTTTCTCTCGACGAAACTCGATTTCCCGCGATAAAAACGTTCCTCGAGGAATGTTTGTCGGGGCAGCGCCAATTTCGAAACTCGAACCATCGCGAGATCGAAGACCGGATCTTCCACCGTGGTTTTCCGTGGTTTCGCGCGGCGCGTGCCAGCAACACGGCAAAAAGTCGGGAGAAGCTCGGGCAACTACTGAAATATTGGGCAACGACCGGTACGGGTCTGCGAATTTTCGGGCCGCCGGTGGACGAACGAGTCGACGAACGGTCCGAAAATAGGTATAGGGCGTGGTTCTCGAACGGCGAAAAGGTGGACGACGAAGTAACGCGAGCGCGACGAATGGACGCGCGTTCGGAACTCGATCCTAAAATGTTCGAAGGAGAACGGAATAAATACCTTCGATCAACTGATCCAGCATGGCGTAGATGTGCGAAGTGGCCTCGTCGGTCATCACCCATCCTCCGGTGGTCATCTCCAGCCTGCCGTCCTTCACCAGCCTCTTGACCACCATCTTCTTGGTGGGATGAGCGCTGCGGAACAACGTCGCATTGTACAGAGCTCGCGCGGAGAAGCGAGAACCGGCGAGGTCTCGTGAAAATGGCGAGAAGACTTGTCCGGCGATCGCGATAAATAAAGCCTGTTCTCTCGGTCCGCGCGTCCCGATCTCTGCTCGCAAGCTACCCCGAGAGCTCGCGGTTCCCATCGAAACGTCCCCGAGCGCTTCGAAGCGTTCGATATCTCGATTCTCGTAGCGTCTTGGAATTTCGAAGCGGCGGCGAAACGGCCGCGAAGCACCGGCGATTCGGCGGGGGCCGCGGTCGCAAAGCGGAATTCATTGGCGGTTTTCCGAGCAACGGGAACGCGGGATCGCGACGCGGCGCGCCTTGGATCGCGTAAATCTCGGCCCGGTTGGAACGCAGCCGGCGATAAATATGATTTGTATCCCGGATCGTATCGCTGGAAATTACAAGTCGCCCCCGACCGTTGCAGCCTCGCCACCGGCTATCTGCGATGTAACTCACAATTACGCGGCCTCCGCGTCACCCGTCGCCCAGACCCGTACCAGAGAGGTTGCCTCCCTCGGCGAGCGAATTATACCCCGAGACGACCGGCTTCCTTCGCCGCGATCGCCGCGATCGCCGCGGTCGCCGCCATCTCGCCGCGGCGTTTTCCCAACGACATGGCCGAGCGAGCGCGGATTCGTCCGCCTCGAGATTTCGATCGGACGCTTCGGAGAAGGAGCAACAGGGCATTTTTCCGCGAACGAGCTAGGATCGCGCGCGCGGTTCCGCGGAAGCAAATATAATTTTTCGAGGAGAAGAAGAGGCCGGTGCTCGAAGCGAAACGGGACGATCCCCTCCGGAAACGGGCCGTTCCCTCGCGATCTTCGTTGTCTTCTGGTCGAACGACGTTCGAATTCCGAGCCGGCCGGAGAGTCCTTCGCGAAGCCGTCCCTGGAAAAGGGGAAGCCGTCGCGCAGGGGTTGGGTCCACCCTCTGTTCCGGATGCCTTTATGCCGGCCGATACTCCCTCATCTTTATCCGGGGCGCTTTCTTTCGATCGTTAAAAAGGGAAGCCCGGGGAATATTCTCCGTTCCAGGGGACGTCTTAACCGCTCTCTCTTTCTCGAGGCGGTGCCATTCCGCTCGCTATCTGGCCATCCTAATGGCCCGTTTTACGACCGTCGTCGTTCGAGGGACGCGGCTGGAAAAACCGGCGACGATTCCTCTCGTTCGAGCATCCACCGCGTTTCAGCAATTTTCATCGACCCGCCGAGCTTTCCGCGGCGACGTCCAAGCGTTTTCGTCGCGATAGTTTTTTGCTTCTCGCGAAGTAAGAGGCGAACGATATTGGTCGCGTGCCTACGTTCGATCGAACGGGGTCGAATATCGACGACGATAGCGCGGAATTCGATTTCGGTCGCGGCGCGGCGAGAAACTACCCCCTCGGAATGCACCGAATACGTTGTTCGAGTCGGATCCGACGCTCGACCGTGAAGGAATTCGAAGAAGGGTTCGGCGGACGTCGGGGCACGAGAAAGTTCTCTCACCTCTCCCACCAAAGCGACAGGAAGGACACCTCGCTCCAGATGAACGTCATGTTGGGCCATTGCTGCAGCTTCGAGACCATGTTGTTCAGGATGCTCCTGGTGGAGCTGTGGAAGTATTGCTCGTACGTCTTCAACCATCCTGGATCGGTGTGACTGTGTGGCACCAGGATCACCTGAAAGAACGAAAGTTCGCGTCAACGCGTTGTTAATTTCTTCCGAGTTTATCGACGATTCGCCGAACATCGATCGCCTCGATCTTCGAAGTCTCGGCGATTATTCGACGATGCTCGATCCTCGAAGTCGCGGCGCGCCGAAAGAACGCCGAAAGACGGCGAGCGGAGAACCGCTGCGACAAAGGATTACGATAAACCGATATCCGGCGGCTGATGATCAGCGCTGGAAGCCGCGGCATGTCGAACCGAGCATAGTTCACCGACGAATCCCTATTATGCATCCCCGTTTATTACCGGACCGCGCGATGCAACCCCTTTTCGAGCGTTCCGACGCGGCTCGACTAGGCGCGGCGCGGCGCGGAACGGAGCGGATCGATGGCTGCAGATTGTTTGGGGAGAAGCCTATTCAGCCGTGCTCATGAACTCCGGGGATCTGTACGTGGCCGGCATACTCCGCGAGCGATCCGAAGAATTTCATTTTGCGCGGTGCTGCCTCGATGGCCGGATGGATCACGGTCCGTCCCGAGGATCGATCCGCGACGTCTAGAATTACCGAGCGGAATCGTCCACCGTACCGGTCCTCGATAACGAGTCGAAGGAACTTCGACGAAAATAACGCTTTCTCGATCGAAAATCGACGTCGCCTCGCTCCTTCGGGACGCTGTTGCTTCGTTTGATCTCGAACGCTCCGGAGATCGAGGAACGATCGAAAAACGAACGTTGTCGTCGAAATCGTTGCCGTCGACGACGCGTCTCGCCCTTCGAGGTTCGCTGTCCTGCGATTTCTTTTCTCTTCGAAATCAAATTTAGAAAATCGAGCGTCGCGTCCAGGAGACGAACAGCCCGAAGCTGCCTGGACGACCGGCGAGGCGGTACCGGCACGATGCGCAACGCCGTTCCCGCATGCGAGTCACGCGGTCCAATTCCCGGCTCGAAAGGGCGGCGTTAATTACGAGAAGGAACGGGAGCAGGAGCGGGAACGGGAACGGTCATCTCTCGCGTTTAATAATCCAGCAGTCGGCGAAAGCAGACGATACCGGCGCTGATTCGTATGCATGAGACGACCCCGGCTCCGCGAGGAGCACCCCTGCGATACGCCCCTTGTATCCCTTCGACCTCCGACCCCGTCCTCGTCCCCGTCCCCGTCCCCGTCCCCGTCTCCGTCTCAGCCTGATCAGTTCCGACGTAGTTTCCCCGACAACTTTGTCAGCTACTTCCGGAATCGCGACGATCGCCGGGCCTCCGGAGAATCCGGCTCCCTGGAGACTCTGCTCTGTCCCTTGTTTCAGCGTCGCGACGCGACGTCGTTCCAAGTCCGAACGGTGGATTTCGATGGTCCGATCGTTTTTGAATCGTAGCAGAGCCAACGGATTTGCGTCGCTCTCGCCGATACTTTTCGTCCACCGTCCGTTTCGACCGCTTCGTTTAATCCGAAGTCGTACGCCTTCGTAGATCGATCGATGGCCGTTCGAACGTTCCTTAAAAAAACTGCCTTGGATCGAGGTTAAATTCGGTCGAGAGTTGTTGAGTTTGCGACCGCGGAAGCGCAAAGTTCGAGGAAACTATCGGCCGCCTGGGGACGTTTCCGCGGTTCGATCCACCGCGGGAAATATGGAATCTCGTTTAATAAACAAACATCGATAAGCGAGTGGCCCGGGGTCGTTGGAGGAACGGAGGTCGCGACGAGTGCCGAGCGTAAAAGTAGACCCTCGGCGGTCGGGTTCCGCCACCGTTCCACATTACCCTTATTCTTCCGAGGTACAGTAATGTCGCTCCAATTGACGCCCATAAAAGATTGCGCACAAAAATGGACAATTCGGAAAGAGGAGATACGATTATTCGAGCCTGTCTCTTATACACATCTAGATGTGTATAAGAGACAGGGCGTACGGTCTCGTAAAACCCGATCTACAGTAACGTCTCCTTTACCGAGGAGATACGATTATTCGAGCCTGTCTCTTATACACATCTAGATGTGTATAAGAGACAGGGCGTACGGTCTCGTAAAACCCGATCTACAGTAACGTCTCCTTTACCGAGGAGATACGATTATTCGAGCCTGTCTCTTATACACATCTAGATGTGTATAAGAGACAGGGCGTACGGTCTCGTAAAACCCGATCTACAGTAACGTCTCCTTTACCGAGGAGATACGATTATTCGAGCCTGTCTCTTATACACATCTAGATGTGTATAAGAGACAGGGCGTACGGTCTCGTAAAACCCGATCTACAGTAACGTCTCCTTTACCGAGGAGATACGATTATTCGAGCCTGTCTCTTATACACATCTAGATGTGTATAAGAGACAGGGCGTACGGTCTCGTAAAACCCGATCTACAGTAACGTCTCCTTTACCGAGGAGATACGATTATTCGAGCCTGTCTCTTATACACATCTAGATGTGTATAAGAGACAGGGCGTACGGTCTCGTAAAACCCGATCTACAGTAACGTCTCCTTTACCGAGGAGATACGATTATTCGAGCCTGTCTCTTATACACATCTAGATGTGTATAAGAGACAGGGCGTACGGTCTCGTAAAACCCGATCTACAGTAACGTCTCCTTTACCGAGGAGATACGATTATTCGAGCCTGTCTCTTATACACATCTAGATGTGTATAAGAGACAGGGCGTACGGTCTCGTAAAACCCGATCTACAGTAACGTCTCCTTTACCGAGGAGATACGATTATTCGAGCCTGTCTCTTATACACATCTAGATGTGTATAAGAGACAGGGCGTACGGTCTCGTAAAACCCGATCTACAGTAACGTCTCCTTTACCGAGGAGATACGATTATTCGAGCCTGTCTCTTATACACATCTAGATGTGTATAAGAGACAGGGCGTACGGTCTCGTAAAACCCGATCTACAGTAACGTCTCCTTTACCGAGGAGATACGATTATTCGAGCCTGTCTCTTATACACATCTAGATGTGTATAAGAGACAGGGCGTACGGTCTCGTAAAACCCGATCTACAGTAACGTCTCCTTTACCGAGGAGATACGATTATTCGAGCCTGTCTCTTATACACATCTAGATGTGTATAAGAGACAGGGCGTACGGTCTCGTAAAACCCGATCTACAGTAACGTCTCCTTTACCGAGGAGATACGATTATTCGAGCCTGTCTCTTATACACATCTAGATGTGTATAAGAGACAGGGCGTACGGTCTCGTAAAACCCGATCTACAGTAACGTCTCCTTTACCGAGGAGATACGATTATTCGAGCCTGTCTCTTATACACATCTAGATGTGTATAAGAGACAGGGCGTACGGTCTCGTAAAACCCGATCTACAGTAACGTCTCCTTTACCGAGGAGATACGATTATTCGAGCCTGTCTCTTATACACATCTAGATGTGTATAAGAGACAGGGCGTACGGTCTCGTAAAACCCGATCTACAGTAACGTCTCCTTTACCGAGGAGATACGATTATTCGAGCCTGTCTCTTATACACATCTAGATGTGTATAAGAGACAGGGCGTACGGTCTCGTAAAACCCGATCTACAGTAACGTCTCCTTTACCGAGGAGATACGATTATTCGAGCCTGTCTCTTATACACATCTAGATGTGTATAAGAGACAGGGCGTACGGTCTCGTAAAACCCGATCTACAGTAACGTCTCCTTTACCGAGGAGATACGATTATTCGAGCCTGTCTCTTATACACATCTAGATGTGTATAAGAGACAGGGCGTACGGTCTCGTAAAACCCGATCTACAGTAACGTCTCCTTTACCGAGGAGATACGATTATTCGAGCCTGTCTCTTATACACATCTAGATGTGTATAAGAGACAGGGCGTACGGTCTCGTAAAACCCGATCTACAGTAACGTCTCCTTTACCGAGGAGATACGATTATTCGAGCCTTGCGGTTTACTTTTATAGTTATAAATTGCCCACAATTATAAAAACGAGCCGCGAGGCTCGAATAATCGTATCTCCTCGGTAAAGGAGACGTTACTGTAGATCGGGTTTTACGAGACCGTACGCCCGACTCCCGGCGTTTCCGGTGCGAGCACCCACACCGTCGCCGCCATTTTCTCGCGGACGCATCCGGATATTCGGACGGCGAGCTTTTTAATCGGGAACAGGAAAGTTCCTTCGCGCCGACGATCGAGAGCTCCGAATATTCCGGGAGCAAGTCGCGGGGATAACGACATCGCCGGGGTCGGGGTTCGGGAATCGTCCGCGTCGGGGCATTGTTGTGCGCGTTTTCGAGAGGGACGCCCCTGCTCGTTGTCGCGTCTCGCCTCTCCTCGCCTCGCGCCATTGTGACCCGGCCGACAATGGCCCGATGAGCCGGCATTGTCGAACTTGTCGAAGTCAGCCGCGACCAGAGCCGCCGGATGAAAGGCCCTGGGCCGAGCGTGGCAGGAGAAGGAGGAGGAGGAGACGGTGGCCTGGACCGGCCGAGATGGAATCGCTCTCGTCCGGGAATCCGTCTAAACATTTGTCCCGGTGAATCGACGGGATCCCGATCAAAGCGCTCTCCCCCTTCTCCCTTCTGGAAATCTCCGTTTCCCCCCTCAAGAGCCACCTTATCGCCGCGTTCGAGAGATTCCAAAGCGACCGTTTCGGATGTCGATCCGCGCGCGGAGCGGAGCCTCGACGCGACTCGCTCGCGACTAGTCGCGTCTCGGCGCGAGGCGCGCGTCGCCTGCAAACGACAGCCCAGCATCCGCGTTCGCGAGCTAATTAAGCCGACGCATCCGAGGCATTTCAGAGATTCGTTAACGAAGTTTCGCCTCCGTCTGCTCGACGCGAGGGACGCGGGGCACGCGCGGAGCACGCCTCCGAGTCTTCGGGGAGCACGTAGACGAGAGGCTGCTCGGCGTTGTAAACGCGGGCCCTTTCGTCGTTCCGTCCGTCGTGCCCGTCGGGGCCTCGTCGTCTCGTCGCACAGATCCGATTATCGAGCGACGAAGCTTCCAGCTGCCTACAACTTCCGCTACTCTTTCGCTTCGGCCTCCTTACGAATTCTCGGACCGCGAGCGGCCCGAGTCGACGATCGGTCGGACGAGGCGCGGAGGTGAAATCGTACGCGGAATTTTGCCGGAAGAAGTTTTCTAGCCGGCTGATAATCGAGTCGCCCGACAGCGGGATAGCCGACGGTCGAAAACGCGGCGTGTTTCGACGCGCGGGGCAGCTCAGCGTACCGCGTGCCGCGGTTTCCGAGCGAACCGGTACCTTTGTGGAGCCGTCCCTTGACCAGCGACCGCGTCCCTCGGCCCTTCACGGGCCAACTAATGGGAATGCTTCATCAAAGCTGCTCGAATGCCGCAGCAGCAGCGGCGGCCTCTTTCGTCCCCGCTCTCGTGCTCGATATTCGGTCGCCCGCTGATTTACCCGAGCGTGGCGGACTCGTAGCTTTTCGGCGCTTAAGCTTTCGATAACGAGCGCGGCGGCGTTCGAGGTCCCCGGGGACGCGGGCTGACAGGGGATCCTGGGGAAACTCGGTCGTGCTCTCCGCGTCGCGTCGAACAGATTTACCTTGAGCGGTGGCCTGGTCGGATCCTTCCGGAGCTCGGCGTACCTCAGCTCGAAACTGTCGTCCCAGTACTCTCTGCTTCTCATCCAGGATGGCTGCAACAGAACCGGAGGAACGTTGTGAAAATTCTGACCCGTCGTCGGTCGGTTCGCCGGAGGAGCAACGTCGTCGTCGGGGCGTCGCGAGAGAAACGAGGTCTGGGTCGGCGCCGTGCCGAGCCGCGCGGCGTCATTAATTACCCTGACGCGGACAGAGGGACGCGTGTCCAACGTGAAAAACTGTCGCGGCATGCGAAACGCGACGACGGCGACGACTAGGCGCAAAAACCGGCGGGGCGCGTCCACCGATTTTCACGCGGACGCGGTGTCGCCGCGCGGTTCTTAATTAATAATTAATCACCGGCTCGGACAAGCGCCGCTGGAATATCCGGCCTCCGTGCCGAGTCTCGAGGCTCGACGTCGAGCCGGATCCCCGAGGGCCGACGTTCGATGGAACGGGGTAATAGAATTCACGGCGGGTCCGGCGATAAGGGACGCCGCGACGCCCGGGAACGTATCGTTCGCCGGGTAATTCAGCCGAGGCTGGCCGATCGCGGGCATCCGGCCGCAAACAGTTTTTATCGGCCGCGGGATCTATAGCGAGGAAATGAATTGCCCGCGCGTTCGAGTAGCGCGAGTCGACCGGACTTGGGAAACGATCGGGCCGGAAGCGGCGGCAGCGGTCGACGACCGATCGAAATTTAAATGGGACTTTGAGCGGTTAAAGGAGAGCGCCCAAAGTCGGGCATTGAATAGCGCGAGTCGGCGACGCGTCGACTCACCGGTAGAACGAGTCAACGACCAGTCGGCCGGGAGTGGCGCGGGTCGCCGAGCGGTGCTCGGATATCCCAAGTGGCGAGGATCGATTATTAGGAGGACGAAGCCGCGGCAAAGTAACGGTAACGCTAGCGGGAACAATAACGATAATGGTAACGGTAACGGTAACGGTAACGATAACGGTAAGGCGACGTCGCCTCGACGGTGGAAGAAAGCGAGCCGGAGATCGGTCTTCTCGTCGGCACGGACCGACGCGGGATCGGTGTACGGCGATCGATTCGGCGAAAGGAAGAGGATCGAGGCTTCGAAGGCTAAGAAAAACCGTCGCGGGACGCGAGAGAACCTACGGAGCTGTGAAAAATGGCTGTACAGGGCGTTTCGGAGAAGATGGACGCGAAATTTATCGAGATTACGTCGATCGTCGATGGGTGTCAATTTTGACGAAGCCTGTAGAATCTCGCGGTGATTCGCGGGAGAGCGGGGCGGCGCATTCCGCGTCAATCACGCGCGTCACGAACAAAGGAATGCTTAGTGCGCTGGATGCACCCATTTGCCTCTCTGTCGCAGACCTTCCCGACGCTTCAGCGTCTCCTTTGACGCGCTATTAGGCGACGCGAGTGGGTAGAAATCGTCGCGTCGAGCCCCGACCTGTTATCGATCGACGCGAGCACCCTCCCGACGGATCCAGGGTGCCTCGGATCGACCAGGATCGCGCGGAGGACGAGCCGCTCGAAAGTAATAATTCATCCTCGCCGAAATTCCGAAGCGGGAACTTTGAAATTTCTCCGAATTCGGAACGCTTTCGAGCGACTTGGCCGCGCGAATAACCGTGTCCGGAAAACCGTGCGGTAAACGCGACTGTTCGTCGGGGCTCTCCGTTGGGCCGCGTGCCAAACGAGCCGCGGGAAGACGCGTTTCTCGCGGGAAAATATTTCCGCGGTCCTCGCCCGGCGCCGTAACATTTTTTATAAACGCTCGCGCCGGCTCCTTTAATCGAAAGGAACCCCGGAGACGAGCGAATAAACTCGCTTTAATTAAAAGAAGATCCGCTACGACTGTCCATTGTTCTCCGGGAAACGGCGAGCATCGGATTCCCCGCGCAACCCCCTGCGAACCCCGCGAGCTACCCCCGCAAATTTCTTTCCGATATCGGTTCGCGGCTTCGAAAATTCTCCGGCCGTTTCTCCGCTCGGCCCTCTCCGGAAGTTCGAGGGCTGTGTCGGACGATTCTCTCTTCTTACGGGGAACGGATCGATCGTTCGGTAATCAGCCGAGTTTTCTCAGCAACAGAGACTTAATCCCGCGAACGTTAATTAAACAGCGAACGGTCGCCGGATCCTAATCCATCGAGCCCGGTCGTCTTTCACCGAGGATTATTCGACGGGAGCTTCTTTTCTTTCCGTCCGCTCGATCTTCCTCCTCGCCTTTACGCGCCTCTAACGAAATTAGAACCCACCCGCGCAGTCCCGGCTATTCTCCTTTCTTATTTCTACGGGGTTATCCGTCTTATCTTCCCATTTATCCGACCGGGAAAAGCCTGGACTCGAACTTCCGGATCGGACAAATTTCTCTTTTGGAAAAACTTTGAAAGACCCTGTGCCGACCGAATTTCGGAGAATGTCGCCGAGACGCTTATTCGTCGCGAGTTGACCCAAGTCGAGCAGCGCGATCGATCCGATTCCAAAGAGCGAATTCCTCGACCAAATCTCGATAGGATAAGCGATCGACGAGATCGCGAGTGGCGCGAGACGAACGATCGAAGAACGAGCAGTTCGAAGCTGCGCGAACAAACGAACGAGATCGGATCGGTAGTCTAAATTGCCGGAAGGTCGGCCCGAACTGGTACAAACGGACGAACGTTCGGACCACGAGTAGGACAAATGGACGAAGACGGCGAGTGGTACAAGTAGCCGAACGCTCCGGCCAGAAGTGCTCCGACCGAATGAATAATTCAAGCGGGACGAGTCGAGGAACGGTCGGCCCGCGAACGCGGAGAAACGGCGAAATTCTTCGCGGGGAATTTAGAGCGTCCCGGACCCCGGGGTCGGAGGTCTCGCGGCTTCGAAATCGCGAGGCATCGCGCGGGAGTGATCCGCTCGAGCGGATCCGAAAAATAAAATCAGGGAAACAATAGCGGCGGCGAAACCGGTCGATCTTCCCGTTGAATTTCCGAGCGTCACGGAACAAGCAATTACGTAGGCGACGGAACGTCGCCGGATACGCTGGAAATCGCGATTTATTCGTCGCGTCGCATCGGGCTTTGCTTTGCGAGCGCGCGTCGTCGGCTCTCGCGCACCCTCTTCGCTCCGCTCGGTTCCGCCCCGGTTCCACCCGATTCCGCTCGATTCCGCTCGGAGCCCGAGCGCCGTAAATCTCGTTCCGACTGCGATGACGCATCGCGCGATAATGCGTCCCCGCAATTTCGTCCGTATTTTCGGATAAAGTAATTTACATGGGCCCAGCCGGCCCATTAGGACGCATTACGCGAACGTAACTGTGCTCGATACGCGATTATCTTTAATCCGGCCATTCCGCCGCCGTTCCCCCGCCTCGATTCCGCGAATTTCACCGTTCGCTCGATGCTCGGATCGCGCGCACGCTCCGATCGCTATGGTTCCACGATTCCGAATTCGAATGCTCTCTGCTCGATCTCGATCGCAGGTAGCGCGGGACCAGGTAGATCCAGGTAGATCGGTGTCGGGGCGAGATAAGCGTGGACCGCGACGGGGAAGAACGTCGAGGGACGCGTTTAGGTAACGGCGACGCGACGGGACATCGCGTATCGTCGAGTCAACTGGAAAATATTATTAATCGTCGACTTCACACTCCGATTCGTCTTCCTCGGCGACTCTAAAAAGAGAGCAGAGAGTCCGCACCCTTTTTTTTCAAGCCCGCCAGCCGTGAATAATTGGGTCGATGCGGTGGACGCGTTCGACGAGTGGCTAACTGAATCGAGTTAGCCGCTCGGCGAGGCGCCTCGCCTCGCCGCGCCGCGCCGCGCCTCGCCTCGCGGGACCAGAAAAATCGAGCCGAAAACGCGACAGCCCGCTCGCGCTGGCTGCTCTCCAAATAATTTAGTCGAGCGAGTGATCGACTTTTTGGGTTTCCCTTGGTGAGAATTTCGGACGATCCGGTTAAACGTCGCGACGGCACGGTCGAAAGAGATTCGCGGGGCTGGACAGTTTCGGGCAGCGGTTCCGGCTTTGCCGGAACAAAAGGGGGAAGAAGCGGCCGGTAGGGTTCTTTGGCGGGGTAAAACGGGCCGAATAGCGACCCGAGTCGGATGCTCGAGGAGCCTCGGGCCGAGATTCGGTCAAGGTTTGCGGGTCGAGACACACTTGTAGCGGTCTAAGCGGCTTGCTTTCATCCCCGGTCCCTCTCTCTCTCTCTCTCTCTCTCTTTCCCCGTCTCTCGGCTTATGGCTGCGGCGGCGGCCGGAGCCTCGGCCCGTTGCCCTAACCTCCGCGGTCGCGGGATCGATCGCCTAATCGAGGAAGCCCGGCGAGAAGACACTCGTTCCCTCTGTTCTCGAGGTCTCCCCCTGTTCTCGCCGACCCAGAAACCTGAAAAACCCAGAAACCCTTTGCCAAGGAGCCTCTCGAATTTCACGAAGAGCCAGATGGTCGGGTCGCGGGACGGTGTCGGGTCACTCGAGACATAATCGAGTGTCCCGAGGCTGGTATCGATTTCGCGGGATATGCAGAAGGGGAGCAGCAGCGAAAAAGGAAGAGGAAGAGGAAGAAGAAGGCCTGCAACGGGGAATTGGATCCGTTGATCAAGGCGGCTTCTTTCAGAGAACGTCGCGCCGCCTGAAAGAAGACGAACGAGAAAGAGAAAGAGAAAGAGAAAGAGGAAGAGAGACCGACCTGGCCCACCCGACTTCGCCTGAATTCTAAGGTATCGACTTTTCAATTGGGTCACGTACACGCTGAGCCGAGTCGAGGCAGGTCGGGTCGGGTCGGGTCGGGTCGGGCCGGGACGAGCGTGTACAGCTGTCGGCGGGTGCTCTGGGAATACGATCTAATGGAAATCGAAAATACGAGAATCACGATTTCCGGGCGGCGCGAAAGCCGCGGGACCTCGAAAGAGCCGCCACTGCCGTCTCGGCCATCCCGCCGCAGCTTATCGCTTCCGAATCGAACGTCGAATCTTTCGCGAGCCCGCGATTCTTCGCGAATCGTTCAATTGCACGCCGAGCCGGAAGATTCGGCCGCGCCGAGAGGATCGCGCGACTCGCGGCAGCCGCGCCGCTCCGGGAGACGAGACGCTCGTGAAAAAGA